AAAAAAAAGAAGAGGGTGAGAAAAAAGAAGAGTTTCACCAAATTAATCATCAAGCCAGCTGAAGACAAAACCTATGCAGAGGTGCTGGGAACGATACGTGGTAAGCTCCAACCCGAGAAGACGGCGACCGTAATTCGATCTGTTCGGAAAACCCGCGAAGGCGGCGTGCTTATCGAAATGGAGCGCTGTGCCGACCACTCAGCATTTAAGGAAAATGTGTGCACTGCCATTGGCCAGCTTGGAGACGCCCTCATTCTCACTACGGCCCCAGAAGTGGAGAAGGCTATACGCGGGGTATTAGGAGACAAAATGAATGGTCAACTTCGCGTCTCTCTCCTCGCTGTAAACTCGCGAGAACAAAGAATGGCCGTGGTGGAAATCGACGAACTGCCAGGCCGGACTCTTATTGAAAAGGGGAAGCTGCGAGTAGGTTGGATTATCTGCCGTGTCCGAGAGCGCGCGGATGTCCAAAGGTGTTTCCGCTGCATGGGATATGGCCACAAAAAGGCGGCATGCAAAGGCAAAGACAGAAGCAGTTCATGCTGGCAATGTGGTCAGCAGGTCCACATAGCCTCTGCTTGTAAAGAAAGCCCAAGCTGCTACCTGTGCTTGGCAGGAGATGGACAGAAAAATGCCAATCACCTGCCCGGGTCGGGAGCGTGTAAGGCCTTCAGGGATGCCCTTGCTGAGGCTAAGACAAAGCTTGGGAGAATATGATTAACTTTATACAAGGCAATATGAACAGGAGTAGGGTAGCTGATGACCTGCTGGACCAATTGGTTCTTGAACAAAGAGCAGACGCTGTCATCATCAGTGAACCCTATAGAACAAAGGAAACCTGGCATGTTGACCAATCAGGCTCGGCCGCGATATGGATTGCTAACCCCAACCATCGCGCAGAGAGCAGCGTGGTCGGACGCTGCTACGTCTGGGTTAAAATGGCGCAAATCACTCTGGTGAGCTGCTACCTGTCTCCAAACGACACAGTCCCTGTCTTCAGGGAAAAGCTCGAAGACCTTGAAGACGAATTGCGCGACATAACCGGCCACATAATTGTTGCTGGAGATTTCAACGCAAGAGGCGTGGAATGGGGTATGCCCCAAACAAACACCAGGGGAAGACTGGTCCTTGAAATGGCAGCCCGCATTGGCCTGACCATCCTCAACACCGGAACGACCCCTACATATCGAAGGCCGGGTTTTGGATACTCTATCCCTGACATAACCCTGGTCTCAGAAAGCCTTCTTCGAAGGGCTGACGGATGGAGAGTGATGGAAGACCTGAGTGGTAGCGACCACAACTACATCACCTTCCAAGTCACTGACACAACGCAAGGGCAAACACGTAGTATCCCTCGCAGGAAACCAGGATGGAACCCGTCCAGGGTCGATGTTCGCAAGTTCGATACATCACTCCTAGCAGATTCCCAAGGTATTTCACCCACAACGGGAGAGACCCACAACAGGGAGTCTTGTACTAAGCTGGTCGAAGAAACCATGCGCTGCATTCACCAGGCATGCAAATCCTCAATGCCACAGAGGAGAGCATGGTCAGGTAAAAAGCAGGTATACTGGTGGAATGACCCAATTGCAGAGTTGCGAAGGGCCGCCATAGAATGCGGAGACTCTCAACGGGCGCTCGTGGTAGACCTGAGGCGCTGACCAGAGCAGCAGCCTACAAAAGCGCTAAGAAACCACTTGGGGCCGAGATACAGAAGAGTAAACGGAACTGCTGGAAAACGCTATGTGACGAAGTGGGTCGCGGTCCCTGGGGCCAGGGATACAAAATAGTGATGAAAAAGTTCCATACATTATCGCAAGCGATGGATGAGGCCCGAGTTAAGGATGTAGTGGATGCGCTATTTCCACACACACCCACTAAAAGCCGATACAGTGTTCGTCGAGGAGCAAGCCGAGGCCCACTGTTTTCGACAGACGAGCTGAAGCTAGCCCTGCGAAGCATGAAAGCCGGCAAGGCTCCAGGCCTAGATAGCATACCAGCGGAGGCAATCAGGTTAGCAGCGAAAACGAGCCCTGATCTCCTGCTTAACATGTATAATAGCTGCCTTAGGGCCCGGGTCTTCCCAAGCCAATGGAAGAAGGCGAGACTGGTGCTTATACCCAAGGGCAAAGGGGACCCAAACTCTCCTTCATCCTTCCGGCCACTCTGCATGCTAGACACAGCAGGCAAAACGATGGAGTCTGCTCAAAAACGCTTGACGCCAGCCATAGAAAGCGAGGGAGGCCTTTCACTCCGACAACAAGGCTTCAGGAAGGGACACTCAACTATAGGAGCAATTGGCGAAGTAGTCGAGCCGGTACATAAGGCCGAAGAAGCCTGCCACCAGGAGCGGCTAATAGTGCTGCTAGTCACACTGGACGTCAAGAACGCCTTCAACTCGGCAGGATGGGACGACATGCTGGAGGCCTTGGAACGGTCATTCAAGGTTCCAACATACTTGTTAGATATGATCCGGGACTACCTCAGAGACAGTTGACTTTTGTACGACACAACACAAGGTCACAGACGTATAACCGGCGGAGCGGCACAGGGGTCTGTACTTGGCCCGGACCTCTGGAACGCCACGTATGACAGTCTGTTGCGCACGGAAATGCCGGGGAGCGCCTTCCTTGTCGCCTTCGCGGACGACGTGGCCGCCGTCATAACAGTAAGAAACGTCCAGCTAGCAGAGCTAAAGCTAAACCAGGTCATGCGCAACGTCAGTGGGTAGATGAGCGATCACGGTCTGCAATTGGCTACAGCCAAAACAGAGATCGTGCTCCTCACCAGGAAACGGATCCCAACAATTATAAATATGATGGTCGTACCTCAACTCGTGACAACTTCTAGGTCTACAAAATACCTAGGTGTGAAGCTTGACAGCAAACTCACATTCTGGGAACACATCCATGGAGTATGTGAAGAAGCTGCGCAGAGCACGGTGGCTCTAAGCCGGCTGATGGCGAACGTGGGCGGCCCGAAGCCATGCCGCAGGAAGCTTCTGATAACAGCAGTCCAGTCGGTGCTCCTGTACGGGGCAGAAATATGGGCCGACGCATTGAAAGTCAAAAAATACCGGATTCAAATGTCTTCGGTCCAGCGCAGAGGGGCACTACGCCTTGCTACTGCATACCGTACAGTGTCCGCGGACGCGGTTCTAGTTACTTCTGGCGTCATGCCAATTGAGCTACTTGCTTAGGAGCAAAAAGAGATTTACAATCTCAGTGCCGAGATAGGTCGAGCAGCTGCCGCGGCAAGGGCGCGCGAGCAACTGATCCAGCAGTGGCAACAAAACTGGAACGCGAGCACAAAAGGTCGATGGACGCACTCCCTGATAGCCGACCTTCAAACATGGTTGAACAGACCGCATGGGGAAGTCGATTTCTACCTGACGCAATTCCTCACCGGTCATGGTTACTTCCGAGAATATCTTCATAGAATGGGAAGGGTGGACTCTCCGTTCTGTGACTACTGTGGAAACGTCGAAGATAACGTGTACCACACATTCTTCACCTGCGAACATTTCTTGATTTCGCGCAGAATGTTGGAAGAAAGATACGGAGACGTAACTCCGAACAACACAGTTTGGGTAATGATCTCCATTGCAGAAAAGTGGGAAGCAGTTGCGAGATACGTGAAATTCGTACTCCGCTGCAAACGAGAGGACGGTTGCCTACTGAGGACACCCGACTGAAACGCCCCTACAAAAGAGCAGCCCCAAGGCTCTAGCAGCGCGCTCCTGCATCTGAAGACATGCAGAATTGCGGTGCCAGATGCGGGATTCTTGCGCGGGCGGTGGGAGTTTGGGTTTTAGTGGGTAGCCCCACACGCTTCGGTGGGAGTCCCACACTCAGGGAAGGTAGTATAGAGACTAGCGCCCCCGGCCAGCGCATAAAGCATTTCCCTCTCTCACGAACAAAAAAAAAAAAAAATTGTCTTGTCGCGTGCATATACAATCCAAGCAAAAGAAATGATATCTCAGTCATTTTTGAAAAACTGGCTGAATTCGCTATCTCTTGTGAGGACATTATCGTATGTGGTGATCTAAATATAGACCTTTTATGTTGTGATTCCTCTTCCAAAAGTATGATAGGCAATTTTCAATCGTTAGGTATTACAATCATCAACAAATATGCTACTCGCTTCGCATCACATTGTCTTTTGGATGTTTTTGGGGTTAGTGACACTTGGATCAATTTCCTCTAGATGGAGTTTCAGATCATGAACTAATGTTTTTATCATACAACCTTAATTCTAAAAATCAGAAACCAGTAAGCGAACTTCTAATATGGGACTTTAAACGAATCAATCATAGTGAGTTGAATAAGCACGCAGCCTTGCTTGACTGGAATATGTGTTGGTGTCTTACGACAGTTGACGAAAAGCTACAATATTTCAACCATCTAATTCGCCAATTATTTGAAAATTTTGTCCCTGTAAGGACAGTAAAAGTACAAAGTAGGAGGAAGCCGTGGCTCACTCATGAGATCTTGTCGTTGATTAAAGAGCGCGCTAAAGCATATAAACTTTGGAAAAGGCATTCGTGCATTGAGTTTTGGGAAAAATGCAGGTTAATTAGAAATAAAGTGACGGCGTGCACTCGTGATGCTAAACGAGCTTACTTACAGTACAAACTTAACGCGAACCTGCCGTCTTAAGTCCTGTGGAAGAATCTTAAGTCATTTGGCCTTTCAGGGGAAAACAAGTTTACAACTAATTTGGATCCAGAGATTTTAAATACGAATTTTCTCCTATCAAGCTGTCCACCATCAACACCTAATCTGAACATAAAATCTCCTATTTTTATGGATGATAATGCCTTCCAATTTCAGTCTGCAACGGAGGCGGATTTGCTAGGTGTATTTACGCCATTAAATCAAATGCTATAGGTGTT